TAGAGGAAGGTTTCTGTCAGCTCCTTTGGGCGAAGTCATACGGCTGAGCCAGCTGGTCAGGCAGTGTGAGCAGTATGAAGTGCAGAGTGTCCGCTGCAGTTATACCTTTCTTGAGTACTAGAGCAACTGAAAAGCAACTGCTTATCACCTTTATTTTACTGACTGCACTATGGAGTCCTGTAGCATAATAGTTAAAGTCATTCTTAATCCTGCAGCACCTGCTCTTAGAGGGACAAAATGCATTTCTCAGTGCTTTAGTAGATACCTATGAGAAATAACTTGATTGAGAATTTAAACATTTTAAATTTACAAGTACTGTCTAAGACTTCACTGCATTTGGAGGGGAAGCTTTCTTACTGGAGAGACTATACTCTGTAATGGGATTAGGAAAAAAGCATCATGCTGTCCATTCTGAAAATCAAGTCAGAATATGGTTCCTTTATATTTCTCCCATATAAGCATTCTTATATTTTATAGTGGCTGTGGTTGTTTCCGTGGCGTCTTTTATTTCTATGTTTTGGTGGGTTTTGCTCAGAAAATTCATGTCATCCATTGACTATAAAAAAAATTCATTTTTCACCATTTCACCATTTATCAAATGAACCACCACTTGTGGTTCATTTACAGCATTACCTACCAAATTGTTTTAAAGAATTTTCTTCCATGGTTATACCCAAATCTATCACCTGTACATAACTGGTACTCTCTAAAATTTGGTAACAACATGGTCACTTAAAACCAGACTTGTTAGCCCACCCCTCGGTTCACAACAGTGTCTAGCTTAAGGACACTGGAAGGGTGCTTGTGCAAAAGATGGGTAAGGCTAAATACTTTCCACTCCCCAGACTGCTGAAGCAACGTTACTTACCATCTTCCTTCCAGTAGAGGAATTAGCGTTTTGTATTCTTTACAGTCATATGTCATGGCATCTGTCTAACTGAAGATCCTGTACTCCTTCACCTGTGCTTTGTTACATTTGCCATCCCAAATCCTGTCTCCAGCTCTGTCCAGGGAACCGCATATATATACCCCTTTATACTTGCAACTTATAACTATTGAAACTTTAATATTTGTCAATTTCTATTACCATTTCACTTGTGGAAAAGTCATTTAGTCTTTCCTAAATTTTGGGCCACTTTCCAGGCTCATGTATTTACCAGCAGTAATCAAGAATAACTTAACTTAAGGGAGTCATACTGATAAATAAGAACAGAATTTGGCCTGTTGCCATGAAAAAACAATGCTGTGTGCCAAGTCACACTTCCAAATCTGGTATTTTCCAAAGCATTAAAGGTTAATCTTATACAAAAGGGTGTGTGGTAATGCCTGGCCAATTCTTTCTTACATGGAAGAGTGCCAGAGCACAGTGGTTGTCTTCAGGCTTGCTGTACAGGAAGGTTTTCTCACACTCAAAACAATAAGGAACATAGAGATGAAAAGCAAGCATTTCTGAAATACAAGCTTTCATGAGGTTTTTCTTCTGGGAACACATCATGGTGGTGTTAAATAAGGTGAAGCATATCGTGTTGTTGAAAATACCTTTTTATCAAATCAAGCAACCTTCAGCACGTACTTCTGTCTCAGAGGTGACTCACCAGGGGATATAGCAATTTTTCATCATGTGCAAGTAGTAATGACTTAACACCGCTAACTTTAGTCAATGAGTTCAGCTGGCAAGGAGTAGAATCAGAAGAACAAAACAGCATTTACAGCTGGAAAACACCTATGAAACCACTTAAGTCCACTTCATTCCTGAGTTCTCTAAAGTACAGTTTCTGTTGCGTCTTTCAGTCTATGTAATGTTTAGAGTTTAAGACTAAAAGACCACATGTTTCTTGAGGAAGATTTTCTCTGCACAGACTTGTCTTTGTGTTATATTGCCCACTTACCTGAAGTTCTTATTCTACCCTAGATAATTAACCTTTTTAAAATATGCTTAAAATCTTTCCCCATTTTGAACTGTGTTATACACTTTTTAATTGAGAAGTAGACCAATAAACATTAGGTAGTCTCTGCATCTCATAAACGCCTACATGTACTTTTTTTAACTCATTCCAGTTTCACCACCTTTTCTTTTGCCTCTGAAACTGCATGTTTCATAACATACTATTATTTACTGGTAAACTTGCTTGAATGTTCCTTGGGTATGTATTTAATTTGGTACCGTGTGTGATGAAAACGATCTTCTCCAGATTCATTCCTGAGTTAAAAAAAAAAGGGGGAAAACTAAAAAAAAAAATAGTAGTTGGCCTGCTCCTTCATGATTTTCTTTCCAACAGATCCTTCAGTGTCATCTACAAGTCTTATGTGATCTCATAGCTGCAGGCACTAGCATAAACACACCGAACATCCCCTCAAAATTATGAAAAAATTGCAAGAGGTGATAGTACTGCTGTGTCCTTCTCCTAGTCCCTTTTGCTACTTTATCCTCTTGTTAAAGCGTAATTTGTATCCACTGTTCTACCGTAAACAGTATTTCCTGGTTAAAGTAGGTACTGCCAACAGGTATTTCAGAGTATGTACAGCTTATAGTGTGTGTTGTGAGAATACTACTCCATCCTTTCTAATTCTGAATGTGAACATTGGAGTACAGCCTCCTGTTACAATACTAAGAATTTTGCCATTTAAAATTAATTATCTTTTTCCTCTCTGCACTGCTTTTTGTTACTGTGGTAAAGCAGTAGTTTGAGCTACAACTACTGGCGTTATTTGTAAATCATGTACATTTCTGGAAATACACAGTC